CTTAAAACAAAAAAGATAATCACGCTTCCAATAAAAGCCTAAGTGAATGTCTCTGTTTTTTGTTTTGTTTTGTTTTGTTTGTTTTTTAAAGAGGTTTTTGCTATAGGGCATGTGCACTCTTCAGAAAGACAGAGAGAGACAGAAAGTGAGAAATCACCTCCCAGGGGGGATGGCCACACCACTGCAATCCCTTCTCCTCCATTCTCTTCTTGGGATCTTGGGCACACACGCACACGTGCCCAGCATAAATGTAAGCCATTGGGTCCGGGTCTCAAACCACAGTCGACTACATGGGAGTCCAGCAATGTAGCCATTATGCTATCTGCTGGTCCCTTTTTAAAGAATTATTTTACTTAGCTTCATTTATTAATTTACTTTAGTAAAAAATTTTGATCAGAGAGAGAGAGAGAGAAAGTGAGAAAGCAAGACACCAGGTCTGGGACTGGACGGCCATGTGGTAATACAATGCCCTTAACCACCAAGCCAACTGCCTGCCCAGGTCTCTCTCATTGTTAGGTATGCTTGTCCCTAACCTCCAATCAACTGAACAAGAGCTTAGCACAGAAAAAAAGAAGAGGAAGAAATGGTATGTTCTGTTGATGAGGTTGTTGAGCAGAAGTTATCAAGTATTGAATAACACTAAACAAAACCACAGAGTTCAAGACTTTACCTATGAGTAAAGAAATTCCAATTAAACAGTTTCTTGGGGGAAAGCCTGAAACTTGGAGTATGGTGCTGAGGAAAGTATTGATTTCTATGCAGATTCTACATTCAATAATGTTATATGTAGGAGGACATTTCATTTGGCCTAATACCACTAATGAACCCCTTAGAAAATAAATTCCCTCTTGGCCTAAGAAGGTCCTTTAATTCTTATAAAAATGTGAAACACATGTTTAAATTTTCTTTAGTCCTTTGAACTAATTTGTTCACTTACTCTTTTTGTTTACTAACAGTTGTCATTACTGTCCTATAGTTATTGGGTCGTCAGAAAAGTCAGGACTTATTTTTCTATGCAAACGTGCATCATGATTTTTCTGACAACCCATGACTTTAAATTATTTCTAGCTGTTTTTATAAAACTGAACAACCATTGTAAAAAGAATAAAGTCACTTCTTTAGAAAAAGAACAGTGGCTAAAATCTAAGTGTGATCCAATACTGATTCTTTCTTTCTAAGCTGATCACAGGTACTTACCCAAACAATTAAATATTTCTTTAGAGAGTGATTTATTAGCACGGTCAGAAACAGTATGCGAGCAAGCTTAGGCCAGAAGGGTCAACAGAGCTACTATCCACGAACACGGAAGCTTGGCTGGGACTGTAGGCAAGTAATTAACCTTTGGCCTAGAGCTTTAAAACCCAGAAAGCAGTTCCTAGAATTTCTTTCATAATTTATGAACAACTGCTGGAATTCATGTCACAGTCAGTGGATTTCCTTGCTGAATTAACACAGTTCTCACTGACCCTAAAAAGCTATAAACCACCAGAATGAGCTCTACGATTTCAGCTGACCCACAAAGTGCCATCTCTGTCATTCTAACAGAGAAAACCGGATGATGAATTACAGAGCTGCCTGCCAGGCACAGAGGAAACATCCACCTTCATGGACGATGACGGTAACACACCGAGTACACTCTCACTGGGCTCAGACTAGCCCTATCTGACAGCAACCCCACGTCTGCATTCCACAGAGGAGCTCTATTCCACTGCTAGCATTCATGAGCAGGTAACCATGAGGGCACTGGAAACAGAAGGTCAAGCAGGGTATCGAGAGAACATGAACACGTCTGATTAAACAGAGGTTGAAATACAAAAACAAGGCCAGCCAGCGGAGTGGTGCTTAAAGCAGCTGGATACCACATGGCCAACTACAAGGTTTGAATCCTGGACCCAGTGGCTTGAAAAAAAAGTGCCAGGCTTGTGTACACCTGTGCATCAAATCCAGAAAGGAGGAAGAAGTGGAGAAGGGTAATTATGCATGATCATTCCCCCTGAGGAGGTGGCGGGGTGCTTTCTCACTTTCCCTTTCTCTCTATCTCTCTCTGGCAAGCATATACACCCTCCAGGAAAAAAAAAAAAAAAAAAAAAAACTTGTTCTAAGAAAATGCATACATATGAAGGAAGCTGCCTTTCATGCTACAGAACACAATTCCGTAGCATGAGTTGGGAAATGTTGGAAGATTCCAACTGGCTAACTTTTTTTAAAAAGAATTATTTATTCAACTATTTTTTTAATTTATTACTATTACTTTTAACTTACTCTTGGGCACATGCATTCATCTGAGTCATGGTACGTGGCCCTATGGCACAACACTTAAAAATAAAATCTACTTGATTGGGATGTTCTTTTCTGGGCTGGAATCTATGTTTCAATGTATTTGAACACTACAAGTCCCTACCTTTTAGAAATATACTATGCCAAACATAATTCACTTACATTGCAAGGTCTCAAGGCATTCCTACACACTTTTAGTTCTGATATACAGATAAAATACACTTTCCCTATTTCCCCATTTGCCCTCCTCTCATACACAAATTACATGCAAACTGACACAGAATCTGCAGAGCAAACTGGAAGTTTTATTTTCAGTGTGGCACAAAGACATCTTCCACAATGACTGATGTGGAATGAAAGAACACTTGGCCTTACCCCACCAACTCCACACAGCCCCAAATACAAAGAAGAGAGAGATGCCCGATGACTCTGAGGACCAGGCCAGCAGACAGCAGGGGCTGGGCCACACTTCACAACTCGCTCTGTTTTCTCTTCCCAGTGATTTGCTTCTTCCTTACAATCACTGCACAGCATGAGCAAGAACCGTAAGTGCCCTTACCAAGTAGTAGGTAGAGAGAGCTGCTGCTGGTTTCCTTGTGTTTGGCTCTAATTTTTGCTGCTCTCTGCTTCTGCAATACATATTGAACTTCATCCTGAAAGCCTCACTTTCTCTAGACAACTCCTAAGCAAGAAGATCTCCCTTGTGTTCTTCAGAACATGCATTATCCCACAGCTATCACCTAAAATACTCGATCTGATCCTGCTTATGCATTTCATTTCGAAGTAGTTAAGAGGCTACTCTGAGACAACAGAAACTAAGTTTTGGTGTTAGCCAGGAAATTGTCGTAGTGACATTCTGCTCCACAGTTGTGCCTTCTTCCAACTCTACCTAATAGTGACAGTACTGATTGTCTGACCTGCTTAAATTACGCTAATTGCTGGGGATACAATGGTAAAGAAAGCCAATGGTACATAGCCATCAGCTATATAATCCAGCTCCATAGTTCACAGAATGGTACATAGCCATCAGCTATATAATCCAGGTCCATATTTTACAATATAAATACATTCTAGCTCTGAAAAATGTCATATTTTAAAACTACTGTAAAAACCATGTGACTATTAAAATTAATAGTATTCTTTAAGTCTTTTTTAAGTACTTATCTACATGATAGATAAAATCCAGTCAAGTTTCTTTTCAGAATATTAGTTGTTCTTTCACCTTTGACTAGGGAATAGCCTTCCTTCATTGGAGAAACTGTACAGAAAGTAGTAAGAAACGAAGGGAATCTCTTAGGAAACAATCCATGCCAATACAGTCATATCACTCATGCATCTGATAAGATCCTACAACATTCAAGCATCATTCCCAGGATTGTTAAAGATTTTTAAAATTTGGCCAGCGGTCACGCGTGCTTGCCAGACAGATACAGACAGAGAGAGGGAGAAGGAGCATGCCTGCCTGTGGGGAAGGTCACGCAGCAATCCCTTCTCTATTTCCCTACCCTGTCAGGATGTTCAGGCGTGCATGCACATGTGCCTCCCATGTTTCTCAGCCTCTGAGTCTGAGACTTGGATCGCAGGTCAACCATGTGGGTTCCAGCTGCCTTAACCACTAGGCCACAAAGGTGGCCTAGATTTTTTTTTTTTTTTTAAATTTAAAAAGGCCACTACTAATATGAGTTAGATTTGGGACTGTAAGAACCCCTTAGTCTTTTGTAAAAAGAGAAACTGTTAATTCCTGTTCTATCCATTAGAATCATGCATAAGGCAAAGTATTGGTATAGCACAATCAAACTAAAAATTTACTTCCACTTTAGACCTTTTTTTGAGAGATTTTTGCTATAGGCACATATGCTCACTGGAGAGACAGAGAGAGACAGAAAGCTAGAACTCATTCCCAGGGGGGATGGTCATCCCACAATCCCTTCTCCTCCAATTCTCCTCTCAGGATTTAGGCACTACACACACGCACCCAGTGTGAATTTGAAGCCACTGGGTCCAGGACTCGAACCACTGTTGACCATGTAGGAGTCCAGCGAAGTACTATTACACCATCTGCTGGCCCCCCACTTTAGATATTTTACTTGGTTTGGGAAGATACATTTAGATAAATTCTTCTAGATTAAGAAAGTGAACTTTACTCACTTTAAAAAAATTATTATT